CTCAAGAGGAATAAGAGATGGAGTCTATTACCTGCCTTTACAATCGACAGTTATATCGATTAGATAATATACCAGGGGCCCATTACCGCCGCGATGTTCAACGAATTCGTCCGAGATCGAATCCTCCCTTATTGCACTCTATACGAAAGCGGCAGTCCTATATCTATACTTATAATGGATAATTGCAAGATACACTGGAACTCTGAGTTAACAGAGATGTGCCAGGAAGCAGGCGTTCGGCTCGAATATCTCCCTCCATATTCGCCAGATTTGAACCCTATTAAGACATCTTTCACTGTGTTAAAGGCTTAGTTAAAGGCTTAGATAAAGAGATATCAGGACATTAGAGAGCTCTTTACAACAGATAATACATATAGGGAATTTCTAAACTTAGCGGTGGAGGCTCAAGATCCATAGCCCGATATAGGCAATCTCTTCCGCTTAGCAGGGATCGAATATAAGGGCATCAACAATGTAGTCAGATAAGTAGAGGAGTCAGACGAGGAAGAAGGAGATATATAATTGTGTATATAATAAGAGGGAAAGCTTGCAATCTAGGTTATATATAGATTTAGGTCTTTGCTTAAGTCTCCAGCTAAGTCTCTACAAAACAGTCTAAATCACTAAGATTCGCTCCACCGTATAGATCGTATGTATCTAGGTTATCATCCTGGGTCTCATCTTTATAAGCTTTCGTCTCAACAGACGGAATTATATATCCCTGCTTATAGGACGTCTGCTGAGGCCTGCTTACTAAACGCTACCGCGATAGCGATAATGGGAGAGTTCTTCCTAGACCTCCAACATGAAGAGTCGTTTGAACCTGCCTCTCACGGCCCCATTTACTGACGTTTCTAGCCAATTGGCGGCCAATCCCAGGCTTGATACCAAGCTTACACCACTGCTCCTCATGCTCGTCATTCTTCCAGGCTTGTATAATATCTATAGTATAGCCCTGATCCATAAGCTCGTCCTTAGCCTCCTTATATACTTTTGTGTATTCAGGGTACTTTTTGCTTAACCATCCAACGAACTTAGCTAGTTCGCCTTCGATAGGGCTGCTATTTCGATAGGACGAGAGGCCTAGTGTTGCTGTAACTAAGCGAGAGATCGAGTAAGGGGGTCGAGTAGTTGTCTTAGTTGGATCCACGTCTCTAGAGCGAAGCTCTTTGATCAGATCTGACGTTCTCGTGTCTCTTAGCGACTAGGGCCCTGACATCAGTGGCTAAAAGCCAGGCTAGAAGCTATATCCATAGGGATACAAAGGCGGTAGCTGTCCAAACTGCCCTCCTATAGTAGAATAAGCAGGTGTAGTTATAGGCTGTATTAGTGTCTTAGTGGTATGCCGTCTCTTTTCTTTACAAGCCTCCTTCTTCTGCGTCTGCTGTAGTTTAATAAGTAAAGACGCAGGAGGCTCGTCGTCACTTATTCAACCTGTAGTATCTCTTAGGATAGTAACTGCCTATATCTTCGACTGCCTTAGAAGGAAGGGTATATACTCGCCCTTATACAAATAGCAATAGTAGCCCGTATTACTGCATATAGAACTTTTGCAAGCCTATCGATTGTGTATTTCCTATTATTTTTGCCTCTAAGGCTCCCCTGTATTCGTCTTATCCATCTCCCCAAGAAGCCTATTAGTTAGGATATGTATAAAGCCTCTTGCTATTCCTGAAATAATCGTCCTAGGCTTCTTCTCAGCTGCTTTGCCAACTACAGGGATCTCCCCAGTGCTATTACGGGCCCAATAGTATATAAGGTCTACCTGTAGGCCCTTCTTTCCGTCCTTCTACTACTCCCGAAGCTCGTCTTTAATACTATACCAGTCCTACTACGTCTCGGCGGTGGTAGAATATCGATTCGGCCCTATAAGCTTCTTATAAAATGGTATTACTTGGACTGAGACACGAAAGCAGGCGTGGCCTCTCTCTATAGCCCATTTAGCGGCGAATTCCTTCTACTAATTATATATAGTTCTAATAAGAATATCGTTACTGCCATCGACAGTATAGTCCCGGAAGGTCTAGCTGCGAATAATCGAACTTTAGATGTCTTTCTCCTAGAATAACCTGACAGCAAGCTTATATTTGAAAGCAACACGTCCTAGGGATTCGAGCTCGTCCTTACTATCCAGGTATATCAAATTTACCTTCCCCTTCTTCTTATTTATAGTAGAACTATAGGATTGCTGACCAGCCGTAGACTACGAGTTATTGATATCCTTTGGAGTCTCCTCACTCTCACCGAAAACGTCCTCCCTACAAGATATCTCCTTCCTAGCCTACGTCTACCTCTTATTCGATTTACCTTCGACGCCTACGAACAGGCTTTTAGACGAATGGCGTCTTATTTAGGGCTACTAGGTATCGAAATACGTCTGAGTGTTGGATAACTAAGTCTTGGGCCTAGCTCCATCAGAATCGTTATCCTTATCGAGCAGATCATGTCGAAATAAGGTTATAGACGTTCGAGACGGTATATCTGGCACCAAATCAATTGCCTTCTAAGCTCTTACCCTGAGGAATAGCGCTGAGGATGACTGCTGGCTTGAAAAGAGGCTAGATGAGACAGGTGGCGGTGGCATACTTGAGTGGAATATACAGGGAGCATGCAAAAAATCCGTCTATACTACAGGGGGGCTTTGCTTAGGCTCTACGGAGGGCTGCTTTGCTGGTTGAGAAGCCTTTTTAGAGGCCTTCTTAGTAGCTGGCTTTAAAGCTCGTTGAGGAGCTGCCTTGCCATCCTTTTTTGGCGGCGGTGGACGCTTCTCAGCCTGCTCAGGCGCCTGGGGTGGCTTCAGTACCAGCCGTCTAGATGGGGGGGCTGGCGGGTTAAGGGTCAGACGTCCAGGTGTCTGAGGGGCAGCAGCAGTAGCAGCAGGGGTAGGAGGCTTTAGGGTCAGACGGCGAGGTGTCTGGGCGACAGCAGGCTCTCTATCGACGGCAGCATACCTGTCAAACGTACTGGAACGACGCTTTCTGGGGTCCATAGCGACAGCGACAATGAGGTCTACAGTCTACGAGCGCCGGGGGAGACAAAACACCATATATGGGGCACTGGCGGCTTCATCTTTGCCGTTTTAGGAAGACTACATGAGCACTACTGCAGAGACAACGCAGCACTTTCTATATACCCGTTCTGCCACCAAAATTTGGTGTGTGGTGGGGTACCCCGAAAGTGCCTTAGCGTTCCCGCCAATGGTTTTGCAATCGACTGTATTAAGTGGCCTACTTTATCGTCTATATAAGGTTTCTGCTTACTTATAGAGTCGTATCTTCTATAAAGTCTTTATTGCGTAATAGGTTAGGTACTATCTTGCAAGCTGTTTAATAAGAAGCCTGGATACTTTCTTTACTGAGTAATTAAAACCCTTGGAACCTAGGGAGACATTCCTATAAAGTGATAGCGATAGTTCTGGTGTTGTTGTACATGTCAACAGGGGTTGACAGAAGTCAATAAACCTCCGAGGTTTACCCGCGGGGCCAACGAAATTCTACACCGCCCCTATATTTCCATTATCATAGCGATACACCACTCCCTACAGACCCCAACCCGGGCCCAAACACGCAGAAAAGAGGCTACTACACGCCGGAAAGCGAAATTCTACCACGCTATTGATACCCGGGGTCTTAAGAAGCTCGGGGAGGTCTTTATGGAGGAAAACGTCCAGCGAGATACAGCCTATTTATAGCTCCGATTACGCAAGGAAATGGGCTCTCCGGGTACTAGACATACTGGAAAATATCGTTCCGGGCTTCCACTTAGTATTCCTAACGAAACCCTCGGTTAAATACTCGCTAGAACGAACCCTATACGTACCGAGCGTTTAGAGCACCAGATTAGCTTCTGGCGCCTAAGCTGCTGCCTCCGTACCCTACAGCGAGCACTTAAAAACCGCCGGAAAAGAGCTGGAATGTATATAATGGCGCAGGCGCGCCCTATTAGCTGGAAAAATCACAGGGAGCGCGTGGAATATGGAGGAGAAAATGGGCCCCGGGATTTTTGGAGCTTCTGGCAGTACATTTCTTTTAGCGACGAGGCTTATTATAACCCGGATAAGTAGCCAAAACAGCGAGTTCTCCGCGAAATTGGCACCCGTGTCGACGCCGATAATATGCAGATACGCCCAGAGCTCTCCGGGGTTCGGGTCCACTTTTCAGCCAGCTGCTCCTGGCACTATAAAAGCGATTTAACCTTCTATAATAATAAGTACGATCCCCCAGCGGTTAAGCCAGTGCTACCCCTGAAACCCCGCCGGCGCCCTAAGACTGAGACGCCGGAACAGCACGAACAGCGCCTAGAGGAGTAGAAAGAGTGCCTACTATATAACCTAGAGATTAAGCCTAAGGGAACTCAATGACGCAAGCTTACTATACTAATAGGATTCTTCCGGGCCTAATTAATGATGTTCAGCGCCTCCGGGTGAGATTACCGGAGTATAGAGGCGATATGATCCTCCAAGAAGATAACGACCCTAGCTACGGCCTACGCTCAGGGCTATATAGGGCCGCTAACAAGCTACGTAAAGCTAACTGGATAACGACTCTAAAACACCCGGCGCAGTCGCCAGATCTAAGCCCTATTGAGGGCCTTTGGGCGATTCTAAAACAGCGTATACGCCGCCGAAAGCGCCTCCAGACGATAGAGGAGCTGAAAGCTGCTCTTAGGGAAGGATAGACGGCTATTACTATAGATCAGATACGCCGGAGGATCGCTAAAATGCCTGCTAGGTGCCGAGAAGTCGCCCGGAATGGTGGTAGAGCCGTTAGAAGCAATTTATGGTAGTAAATAGCTAGTTATCAAATTTATGCCTGCTTGCTCGATTAAACCTCGGAGGTTTATTGACTTCTGTCAACCTGTTGGCGGGTAGGTAGGAAAATAGAGATCAGAGAGCGGATGAAGGAATTAGTACGGAAAACCGCTATATTAGTTTTTGGATCGAGAACCGTTCCTAATGTAAATGATACCTGCTATCCACTCCACAAAAAAAAATGCAAGTATGAGAAGGGCGGGATTCGAACCCACGCGGATCACTCCAGATGTTTGCAACAACCAGTTATAACCAAGTTGAAAGTTTTGAAACTTGAGACATCCGCCATAACCACTCGGCCACCTTCCCTCCAATACTACCTGGAAGATATAATTATATTTCAATATATTCAGGCAAGCCAGCTAGGTTCAGCCCAGCGCTCTAGGTAGCTATAGAGTCGTTCTGAAAGTTACCGATCAATACCGTTAGGGCGATTCCGCATTTCAGGTGCTAAAAATAACAAGTGAGAAGGCCTCGTAAAACGGCGTTGAGACCATGTCAAATCGGACGCCTTCTCACCTGCACACAAAGTATCCGCATAGTCTGTGTGCAGGTGAATTACTTCTTCCGGTAAAGCCTTCCTAGCTTACACGGCACGCAAAAGCCACTTTGGACAACATGAGTATTTAGACTTGATTGGAATACGTTGTTCAAGTCACTTCTCAGTCGAGCCTATTCACGACGTCTACCAAGCCAAGTGCGCAGTGTGTTGGTCCCCAGGCTTCGCCCAAATCACAACACGGTTCATCCCATTCTGATGACATCTGGCATGAGATATACTTCTACAACCTCACGCCGCAACATCAGCTCAGTGAGCTGTACCTTGTTGCCTATGACCTCCAACTACGACCTTCAAGCCAAGCAGGACAGCAGCGAGAAGAAATGGAGCAGAATCTTCTGGACCAAGACCAGAATGCACCCAGCCTCTCTGCGGAATCTATCATGGAGACAGTAGACGATGGATCAAATCTTTGCAAAGCATGCAAGGACCTGTTCGCCGGAAACAGCGAGGACCTTGGCGATGGCTCTTACGTTCACCATAATGACATATTTGCACTTGAAGATTCAGCCTCAAACGGCTGCTCGTTCTGCAATTTTATTCTTGGGATTCTAACCGCAGAAGTTGCAGCCAAGGTAGATGTCTTGAAAATAAGAATAGTACAAGCATAATCCCAGCTAAAACTTGGGGTCGATCCTCCGTGGCTGAAGGGCTCTATTTTCGCCTCCTTCCGGACGATTTACCAACTAAGAAATCCCGACATAAGGCTCCTAGCTCCTTTGACATATTTTTTCGAACCCTATGAGTTTGGAAAACGAATTTGCTACAGTGAAAAGGGTCAGTAACCTTAACCTTTTTCCAGTACGTACCTCACTCATGCTTAGACCATCCTCGAATTATACTTCAAGGGGAGAGAGCATACCAGTATCAACACTCGAGCAACATTCGATGGGAACAGAGTCTTCAACTGGCAGCGCATTAGATCAGTTTTTGCAGACAGAATCATACAAAGTGCTCGGTAAAGAAAGCAGATTGGCGTCCGACACGTCTTATCGAAGTCGGAACACTCAGCCAACCAACATTGCAGCTTCGCTTCTTTACAGAACTTCCCTTCTTTCTGGACTACTTAACTCTAAGCCACCGCTGGGGAACGATTGAAATGCCTCTCCTGAAGCAAGACAATTTCACGCACTTTCGAGATTTGATACCTTATGAACAATTACCCAAGACCTTCAAGGACGCCATTAGAATCGCGCGAGCACTAGGGATACGTTATCTTTGGATCGACTCGCTTTGCATAGTCCAGGATTCATCGCCTGACTGGCAGCGGGAAGCAGCAATGATGGCGGAAGTGTACGCTAACAGTGTTTGCAACATAGCAGCAAAGGGAGCAGTCGATGGGAGAGATGGATGTTTCTTCAATCGAGACTCTTCGAAAATATTGTCTTTTACACTCACAGGTACTGTGTCTGAGCCACATTCCATACACAGGCCGGCTCGAATAGGCAAACCTCACCTGCAAAATGGGCAACAATATACCTTTTCTTGGGCCGACACATGGGAGTATGATGTTGAGAAAGCGCCTCTGAATCATCGCGGCTGGGTGATTTAAGAGCGGGTTCTAGTACTTATTCAGGCTTTCCTGAACAACCCAGGCGCCACCGGCTGACGCTACAGGCTTAGGCACTTCGAATTCTCCATTTGGCCCGTCAGCAAATCTATTTCGAATGCTACACTTGTAGAGCGAGCGACATACAATGTTCAGGGCTACCGTATCCGGGAATGCAGCCCACTCGAATCGAGGCCATCAAGAACACCGAAGACGGGCTTCGCAGATGGGTATCAATCGTGGAAACATACAGCAAAGCGCAACTCACAAAGAGCGAAGACAAGCTCGGTTCTATTTCGGGCCTCGCACAGCGCTTGCAGCGTGTTATGAAGGGCCGGTACCTTGCCGGGCTTTGGGAGGAGCGCCTGATTGAGCAACTGCTCTGGTATACAAGACCACCTTCGTTGTGCCCTAAACCCTACCAAAGTCCGACGTGGTCATGGGCTGCTATTTCTTCAATGGTATGTTTTAGTTCCTCCCAACTTTTACGGGATTATGATCTTTTGGTGGAGCTTGTGGATGTTGCAGTTGAGAACATTGGAGACAATCCCCTAGGGCAATGCAAAAGCGGCTATCTTCGATTACGGGGAACAGTCTTGCCTGTCCTAGAAAATTGGGCTGGCGAAAGTCTTGAGGTATCTAACCTACACATGTTGGGATACGGCTCAGGCCACGCAGGATTCGATCCCGGGGCCAAAGAATTTGTTCGGGATGTAATTCCGGATGTCGTAGATGACAGACCCTCAGGCAGAGAAGTTCTGGTGCCAATACTAGACGATTCATCATATTCTTATGGACTTATTTTGTACGCGACGGACACAGAGTCTGGTCAATACTGGCGTATTGGCTACTTCAATGTCAGGCGGTGGCAGAAAGTTAGAGATCAGGCCTTCTTCCAGAACGAGGAAGACTGGAGCTCTTTTGAGAAGACCATCACTATAATCTAACAACGCGCAGTGGTGTGTAATCATTGCAGAGCCACATGATATATAGAATGGATATAACATTCCCGCGACTGCAGAGCGCTTCATGTGGGACATGAGTGATCTGATCTCATTGACCAAAAATTGCCTATCTTTCGTAAGCAAACCCATCGATCTATCCTCTTCAACAACATGGTACAAGTCCTCGCGCCGCAGTCCACTAACGGCTAATCTCGTTGACTCCTCTTTACGTACATCAACGCCAACCCGGATTCCTTTCTCGTTCAACAAAGTCGATTCTTGACTTCATGTCATTACGGCTCTAAGCCTGAGCTACTCTGTCTAAGTCGGCGCGCTGGTAGCATATTGTGCGACTGAGAGGAGCCCGGGGAGCTATTTAAATGTGAGAAACCTGATAACTAGTATTACGATGAGAGATAAATATACACTGAATCAAGCATCCTCAAATTTCTCATTTGTACTTCAATTGTCCTCTTCCTGTGGACTTGCTGGATCCTCCTCCCAACCTACAGGCCTCTCCCCCCTCCCTACAAGCTTACTAGACCACAGGATGGCCACAAGGATTGCTATATCTGATGCGGATCCGAACCAATCGATACACCAAGATGAATCAAACGGCACGGGTATGGATGAAATGCCTGAGGTCGATGTTGGAGTCGGCTCCAATGCAGCCAAAGACGCAATAAGATCTGAAGTTAGGCACATGCATGGCGGTACACTACTATATTAGTTTCTCAATCTGCCGGATGTGAAAAAGACGGCAATCGGAGGAGAAGCTGGTGTCCTCGCGAGACCGACGCACCATTCTCAGAACGCGAAGACGCAAGAGTCACGTCCAAACCAAGGGGCAATAACGCCGGAGGAAGCGGACAAGGTCCCAAGGGCCTGGTGGCCAGCCGTCTGTCCTATTGGTTGGTGATCCTATTTAGGACGAATTTGTGGAGAAGGAAGCTCAGATATCTGGGTATAAGAAGTCCGGGCTGGAGAAATTCTCTCAAGGTGTTCTAGCAGGCCTAGTTATCTTTTTTACCTTTCCTACTTTTCAATACAGTCGCTGCAGAAATCGATTTTGGTAGCACCAATGATGAAAACAACACATGTATTCGTCACTAGCTACTTAAGCTTCCCGGAAATGAGTGCGTGTCAACTGAATTGATCTTCAGGCGATATCGATAAAATCATCGCCCCCGACCCCGCCAACTCCGCTTGCAAAGCCGTCCTCTTCGCCATGATGATAGCTACCAAAACCACCTCCCCTGCCGCCACCGACATATCCAAGGAACCGCCGCTCTCGATCAATAACGAGAACGAACATTGCGACCACAAAGAACACGGCCGCACAATCTGTGTGTAGAGTCTGAGCGTGCTGCCAGCGTATCAGGGAGGAGGGCTCAGGAAGACGCTGATGAAGAGTTATCAGCGGTGGATGAAGACGAGTGGAATTGCGGATAGGGTTGCGTTGATTGCGCACCGAGGTGGGGGTTTCGAGTGGAAGGGGAAGAGTGAGATGAGCGGGAATAGCTGGGAAGTCGTGGCCGTGACTTCACTATAATATGCAGTGGCTATGGTTGGATCAGCCAAATACGAATTGGATGTAAACATGCCCGGCGACCACAATTTACCATATCAACAACTGGAACCATTAATGAAGCCAAGTCTCCCGTCTTGCGGTTTCTTCGCTCTTGAAATACAGCATCCCTCGTTCTTATTTGCTCAAATGTTTTGAAAACTCTGCTGACAGCTGATCCGTTCGTAGCTCGGTCATACTAATTTTGCACCAAACCCGCGCCAGCTTTTCGCCGGCGTTATAACGAGACTACGTGTACCGCTGTAAGTCTGTGCTGAATTCGTGTAAATACTGGCTAAGGTAGAAATTTCCCTTCAACTTACTTGATCCCCCTCAATTCCTACGACTTTGTGTAAGTGGTCTCAAAAAGGGGTTGGAAGTTGTCAAGGTGTTTAATGAGAGCCGAGGTATAAATACTAAAGGGGCTAGAAGCGCGCGAAATGAAACAATATCAAGGCTCAACAGGCCACAGACGTCGCCTCACACAGGCTTTGAGCTGCCTCTCTCGTAGACTCGACAAGGATACTTGTCCGCCGGATGCGCGGCCCCCTCCTCAATTTGGTAGACCCTCTCCCCTCTATACGTCCTCAATCCCTTACTCGGATGCAAGAGATCCCACTCCTCATACGCAGGCTTGACATAAAACTGCCTCACGACCATCGCCAGCACGACCCGTAATTCTGTCATCAC